ACAACCGGGGGCACAACCGGGGGTACAGTCAAGCAGCACAAGGGGGGGGGACGGTGGGACACAACTGGGGGGCACAACTGGGGGACACAGTCGGAGGGATGGTGGGACACAACCGGGGGGCACAGTCGGAGTGGGGGTACGGCAGCACACAACTAGGGGACGCAGGGGGGGAGTCGGGGGGGCACAACCAGGGGCACAGTGGGGCACAAGTGGGGGATAGAAGCAGGGACACAGATGGGGGACACAACCGGAGGACACAGCCAGGGTGGGGGTACAGTGGGACACAGTTGGGGGTACGGTGGGACACAAATGGGGACACAACCAGGGGACACAACTGGGGGTACAGCAGCACACAACCAGGGGCACAACCAGGGACACAGATGGGGGTGTTGGTGGGACACAACAGGGGGCACAATTGGGGGACACAACCGGGGGACACAACCGGGGGTACAGCAGAACACAACTCGGGGCACAACCGGGGGACACAACTCTGGGTACGGCAACATACAACTTGGGGTGCGACCAGGGGACACAACGGGGGGTACAGCAGCACACAACCGGGGACACAACCGGGGGACACAGCTGGCGGTACAGTGGCACACAACCACGGACACAGCCGGGGTACAACAGCACACAACGGGGGACACGACTGAGGTATGACCGGACGCAAGTGTGGACACAACTGGGGATACAACGGGACACAACTGGGGACACAACAGCACACACAGGGAACACAACCACTGACACAACGTACATGGCTGGGCGTACCACAGACCACAGCTCAGCGCGTGTGTGTGTGTGTTGGGGCCTCAGTTGTAGCGCCATGTTCCCAGCATTGCACCGTGTGGCAAGTTGCGTCATGTTGTGTCGCATTGTCACCGTATTGCCAGCTACATTGTGCTGCACGGTGTTGTGGACTGTACTGTACGTCAGTCTGGTCTGCGTGGTGTTGTAGGCTGTGTTGCACGTCAGGCTGTGCCACACGGTGTTGCGGGTTGTGTTGTGCAGTGGGTTGTATTGCACGTGCAGGTTGTGTTGCGTGGTTGGTTGTGGAACATGGTCGCAGGTTGTGTCACGCAGCAGGTTGTGCTGTATGTCAAGCTGCGCTGGATGGTGTTGCGGGTCGTGATGTACATCATGTTGTGCTGCACAGTGTTGTGTGGCGGGTTGTGGTGCGCGTCAGGCTGTGCTGCACAGTGTAGTGGGCTATATTGTACATCAGACTGTTCTGCTTGCTGTTGCAGGCTGTGTTGTATGCCAGGCTGTGCTGCACAGCGTCGAGGGTTGTGTGGTGTGTCAGGCTGTAGTGCACAGTGTCATGGCTTGTGTTGTGTGTCAGGCTGTGCTGTACAGTGTTGCGGGTTGTGTTGCACATCAAGTTGTGTTGCACAGTGTTGCATGCTGTGTTGTGCATCAGGCTGTGCTGCATGGGGTTGCGTTGTGTGTCAGGCTGTGGTGCTCAGTGTCATGGGTTGTGTTGTGTGTCAGGTTGCACTGGACGGTGTTGCAGGTTGTGTTGTATGTCAGGCTGTGCCACACAGTGTTGCATGCTGTGTTGTGCCGCACGTTAGGTTGTGTTGCAGAGTCTTGGGGGTTGTGTTGTACATCAGGTTGTGCTGCAGGGTGTTGTGGATTGCATTGTGTGTCAGGCTGCGCTGCTGCCTGGTGTTGTGTGTTGCTGTATGTTAGATTGTGCCGCGCAGGGTTGCAGGCTGTACTGTACAGCAGGTTGTGCTTTGCGGGGTTGTGGCTTGTGTCGTGTGTCCCGCTATGGTGCATGGTGTTGCAGGTCATGCTGTGCGGCAAGTTGTGTTGCATGTCAGGCTATGCTGCACACCATTGTCGGCTGTGTGTGCGTTGGGCTGTGCTGCACGGCATGTTGGGCTGTGTTGTGCATCAGGCTGTGCATCACAGCGTTGCAGGTTGTGTTGCACAGTGTTGCGGGTTGTGTGTCACATTGTGCATCAGACTGTGCTGCACAGAGTTGTGGGTTGTGCTGCACGTCAGGCTATATTGTGTGGTGTTGTGGGTTGTGTTGTGTGTCAGGGCGTGCTGCACGCTGTTGCAGGTTGTGTCGCATGTCAAGCTACGTTGCATGGCATTGCCGGTTGTGTTGTGCATCATGCTGTTGCACGGTGTCACGGGGTTGCGTTGTGTCACACACGGTGTTGCTGTACATCAGGCTGTGCCACACAAGCGGCACCGTGTGCCTGCACGCCCCAGGGACGAGCGTGTCCCTCACTGTGTAACCTCACTGCCTGTGCGCTGCTGTACCATCGTCCCAG